AATAATGTAACTGCAATTTTAGTAAATCCTGTTTTTAGTACAGTGAGATTTTTCTCAAGATTGTGGAAACATTGGCGTCATCATTTATTTGTGACTCAGTGAATATGTCATGTTTATTTTTATTCTTACTCTTATTTTGTTTTTACCCTTTTTTTCTACTATGGACCTTTTTTGTGTCTGGAATAAAGATTGATTGATTGATATTATTAGGTACACATGGCAGTTTTTTCATTTTTTGTATATTGTTGAGCTTAAAATTAAAAGTAAAACAATAAAGCTGATGTTTTATTTTAAAATGAGTTTGGTACAAAAGCACAAATATTTCCTGCTTCTTGTCACAGTATCTAAGTATAATTTATGTTATCAACATTTGTACACGCTAACAACCAAACAGCATGTTTAATAATATAAATATAAACATCTTACTGGTTTTCTGCAGGATCCCAGCCAAAGTTACAGCGTTCAAACAGCAGCACACGCCTCAAGAACAAATTGAAATGACTGACAGGTTTTCAGCCAATCAGAGCTAAGAGAGGCGGGAATTCCGGTGACATTGACAAATCAGTAATGGCGAGACGAGAACACCTAAAGATGACAGCAAAACAACCCGAGCGGTGGGAGTGAACTTGTAGACAGCCGTCATTTTTGTAGAAACATTACAAACAAAATATCTCTTTGTGTGGAATTTGGGAAGAGCCGGAAGGTAAAAAAAAGACTGACGGAGTTTTGTGTTTGATGTGTTGTTGTGTGATAAGTGTCCTGCTTCGTGTTAACTGTGTAAACTTTCTGACACGGACACAGTTCGCTGGGCAGTCCGAACGAGCTAGCAGGCTATGCTAAGTGTTAGCTGTTAGCTAAGTTGTTCCGATCGAGCCAAACAAACGCCCTAAAAATAAAATAAAAAACACTCTCGCAGCTTGGTTTATTTACCCACGTGTTTGTAACAAATGTAGGTAAGTTTTATAAGTCTCATAAAGCCTGGGATGAGTATGACAGGAGCTCGATTTACATTTTAACTTTAGTTTTGTTGCACATCGGTGAGGGCCACCAGGTTAGGAGCCATGATGATCCAATCAGAGTGATCCGGACCTTTAACCAGGTAACTGCAGTCAGTCTGAACAGGTAGTTAACCAGCCAATCATCTCTTTATTAACCTTTAGTCCTGCTTTATCTGCACGTTATAAGTTTTTAAACCGTCACAAATCTGCAGTTATTTACCATAAACTAACGGTTTCTGCTTATTAATTTAGGTCAAGCTGCATGAAGGGGCAAGTATTAACTAAAGATATATAAATCAGAAAGAATGAAAAAACGTTTATTAGAATCCATTAAATGCAAAACWTAAAAACAAGATTAATAATGCATATATGCTGTATGTAGGGTTGTACCATTAAAGCAGTGGGAGTAAAAAAATAAATAAATAGTGAGAGAAAAGAAAGAAATCAACTTTATGATGGGGAAAGTAAATAAATAGAGATGTATAAATAGAAAACAAAAAGAATCCAATAATACGGAAATACTCAAAAATAAAATCAATAACAAAAATAATGTAGATATGTGGTGTGTAAATTCATAACATTACAAGACTGTAACATAAATACTGTAACAGACTGTAACACACTGTAACAGACTGTAACAGACTGTAACACACTGTAACAGACTGTAACAGACTGCAACGTACTGTAACAGACTGTAACAGACTGTAACATAAATACTGTAACACACTGCAACGTACTGTAACACACTGTAACAGACTGTAACACACTGTAACGTACTGTAACACATTGTAACACACTGTAACATACTGTAACAGACTGTAACATAATGTAACAGACTGTAACAGACTGTAACGTACTGTAACACACTGCAACAGACTGTAACACACTGTAACAGACTGTAACAGACTGTAACACACTGTAACAGACTGGAACAGACTGTAAAACACTGTAACAGACTGTAACAGACTGTAACACACTGTAACATAAATACTGTAACACACTGCAACGTACTGTAACACACTGTAACAG